CGGAATTTTTTCAGATAGTTTTTGAAATGGCATTCTTTCATTTCTGAATTTTACAATTAATCTTCCCTTTGATTCTGGTGCTTTCCTCTGGAGTGAGGAGCAAAGCCGTGTTTCTATTGGTGTGCGGACATAAGCAGCAAGATTATTGGTAACTGTGAGCACCAAGATCATTCGTTTATATTTGGCTTGAAGTAAAGAGACTTTGAGGTGAATTAAAATGTGAAAATAATGCAATTTTTAACATTCAATCTGGAAAAGAGAAATAAAAAAAATGTATGTCTAATGTAAAAAAAAATGTAAAAAAAAAAAAAAAAAAAACGAGTTTTGAAATATATAATATAAAAAAACTAAATAAATACACGGAAAAAGCAAATAATATCAGAAAAAAAAGAACAGATACTCTCAAAACCTTTTGTTTCAATTCTGGATTGCATTTCTTCCTAATTTCCTTTTACAAAATGCAATCTTTGCTTGCAACAATATTTGAACAAAATTTACTCCATACATTCAGAATAGCGATTTCTTAGTCCTTTTCAAGCCGATAAGATTTCGGCCTCACGATCAGCAGATTAACATCGTTAAACACCGTTGCCACCTGCTGGCAGTACTTACTCAAGCATCCATCAACTTGAAGCTTCCTTGCGTTTAGCTTCAGTGAAAATCAAAGTTCATTTTCTATTCTGGGCACCAATTCCCTGTTAGCCCCCTTGTCACCTGATATGTTTTGCACTATTTCCTCACTTGATCTTGGACTTCTATCTTTTTACACCTCCTCAGGGGAATTGCTGACTCGGTCTACTATTACTACGGCTTTGTTTTCTCACGGCATGCACGCGTAGAGTTGTACCTCAGCCCATTTGGTCTTGCTATGGTGAGAATACAAGGTCCTTGGTCAGAAATTTGTGAACTCAGTAAGATTAGCAATGCCATGAAACATAATCTGAGGAAACTACTGGCATCCTTATGTAATCAGTTACCATTTATATTTTGTTTTTGGCTGCAATACAACAGGCTGTCATTTTCAGCTGGTGAGTTTATCTGAGTACACAACAAGTTACAGAGTCCCATTAAATCCTAGGTGTTCTGCGAGGCTGTGGGCTACAACATAGGGGGAAGCTTTGTCTAAATATCACCTTCACCCTGAACAAGAACTTTTCAAACATTTTGTTTGAAAACTGGTCCTGAATCTACAAATTGTTAACTTACTTTAGTTTCCTGTACTCTAATGGAGTCCAGTAAGTAGTGCAGAAGCTCCTGGCTGTCTTGTTGTTGGTATCCTTTAAAGCGTGGAGCTCTGAAACAGAACAAAACAAACATAAGACAAATGAGAGACAAAAAGGAGCAGAGAAACAAAAAGGTTAGAAAGAAAAGAAAGAATAAAACATTAAAAAAAAACTTAAGTTATTGGCAGACAAGATAAACACCTAATCAGAAGAAAAAACACAATCTCTCATACAAAAAGCTGGAAAACAAGAGAACAAAGGGTGAAAAGGCAATTGTGTTTAGTGAAGGCCTTTTCACACCCTTCCCTAGCTGGAAACAGTTCACGGTTTACACAGGAACATAAGTTAAGTAAGGACAGACAATCCAACAGAGGAGACATCAGAGAAGCTGCATAGATCAGCACAGCACTGGAGAAAGGACTTCAACAACAAATATATGATTAAAATGTTGATATAGCAAACTTCAAGGTTTGATTATTAGATCAGGTCTTCATTTAGTGCTAAAACTGGTTAAAATCAACCAAACTAGTATTTCAAACCCATAACAGATTAAATGCACCATTTAGGGAAAACAGGAAAATAAATAAAAACACAATTATATGACCAACACTTAATATCTACCAGAATTGGGGCAACTGGAGTGGTTTTATTTAGATCGTAATTTATCAATATTCGTAAAACCCTGGAACTAAAACAAAGATCAAAAATTACAGCTGATGGAAATAAGCTTTATCTCAAAGGTTTCAGTGATTAAATGTGCATTTATTAAAAAATACAGTTTTGATTTCACCTTTTCTATGATCATTTACCACATAGTTACATAGTTGGTCAACAATACTGAGCTATAGACGAACAAAGTATGAAAGCAGAACAAAAGAGTTTTTAAGAACAGGGAATTAAATGAGTAAATGGTAGGACGACAACTGACCCATAGTCATAAAAATATCATCCTTGATTGAATAGTAAAAAAAAAAAATACATTTTTAGCAGCAACTGGAAAAATTAATTTAGGTCCATCCTTCAGTACAGCATAGATTTGCTAGATTAACAACTCTGTTTGATCCAAGCTTTACCTCCAAATCTCAAAAAGGAGATCATTGGGTCCGTTAAGGTCTGCAAAATATGACCAGATGCTCACTACTCTACCACCATATTAGTCAGTATCTCCAAAAATGTTGCTCATTAAACATATATACTTTGGTCTGGTCTGGCTGAAATGCCATCATATTTTCACTCAGATTGAAATCTGTCCCACACAAACATTTGTTCATAACTTTCAATATTACCAAATGTATATACCAGTAGATAAT